CACGTCGAGCTCATGTCACTTTTGGAACGCTCGGGTGGCCCCGCGGCGGAGCGCGGTGTTTTTGCGGCGCGCTTCCCCCGGGCAAAGACGCTGCCGGGGTTTTTGTTTCGCGGGGCGCGTCGCGCCGCTGCGTCGCCCCGCCGCGCCCATCACTCTGGCCAGAATGCCGGCGATGCCCAGTGCAAGATGGCCGCCGCGCCCCCCGAACTCAGCGCTCTCGAGACTTCGCGGCGCAGCTGGGCCAGGACTGGCCAGGTTGGACACGCAAATCTGCAGTCTCGACACAAGGCGCGCAGATCCTCGCGCCCACCCCACCAGGGGCGCCGCAGCGTCAAGGACGCCGCGAACAACTGCGCGCGAATCGCCGATTCTGGGGAGCAGCCAACGAGATTCTCCGCGAGAAGAGCAGGGCGCCGATGACGGAGCTGCACTTCGCGGCGCAGTCGAGGTCGTCGCGCAATTTCGCGGCGGCCGCGCGGCGTTCGCGCCGGACCCCGTGGACGCGTTCTTGCGGACAGGGGCTCGCCTGCGACGGCGCGCGCGCGCGCGTCCCGGACAGGTGCTCCCGCCGCGCCCCCGGCGCCCGCCTCGCGCGACGCCGGGAGTTCAACCGCGAGCACATTCACCGAGTCGAGTACCCAGGACGCCACAGCGACAGCGGATAGCGACTACAGCCTTACTGAACTGGGACTCGCATCAGAACAAGGCACGACTCGCCACCACCCCCGCAGACGCCGCTTCGCTGACATCCCGGCGACGACAGACGATCGATCACGCCCGCACCCATGGCAGACGACGGTTGCGATCGCGACGATCACCTGGCTGGTACCCCACACTGTGCTGCCACCCCCATACCCGACGCCCACGACCCCGACCTCTGCATCACCCCCACGCAACGTGCGACAAGGACACCAAACGAGCCGCCCGTCTCGCTCGGCCCATCCATACCTACCAAGCAGCCCACTCCACCCATATTCCCCGAAGTCAGAGCGATGTCGGCACCACCAGCAGCCCGAGGTGAGGACGCAGAACCATCCACACAACCAGCTACTACTGTGCTGATCGACTTGAGCGCTGACGACGCAGTCGCACCAACGACGCCACGGCAGCAGCAAGTCGGGAGCATCACCCCAAAGCAGCAATTTGAGCCTCCAGCCCCACCCCCGAGATTCCACATAGGAACCCCCGAGAGAGCGAGGTCCGCCCCACCACCTCGATTCAAATCGGCGCTAAGAAAAGGAGGGCAAGCATACGCAGTGAATTTCTTACTCCTACGGCGCCGGACTGAAAAACCGAAGTAAGAAGCGGAGCAGGCGCGCAAGAGCGGAGCGCGCAGGGGGGGCGACCCACCCAGACCCACCAACCACGCGGGGGCGGCGAGGCGGGAAAGCCTGGATGGCGCGCATCCTAAGCGAAGATGGCGCGCAAGTGATGCGACGGACCACTTGGATGACGAAAGTGCGCTAACATATAAAAAAAAGAAGGAGGAAGGAACGGGGGAGAAGGAGGAGGCTAACGCGGATCCTTGGTCTCGAGAGCCACTTGGAAGATAATGTTGGCTGTCTTGGGGTTTCGCTGGGGCTCTCTAGGGGTCCTCTTAAGGCTCCCTGAGAATCCACTCGGGCCTTCCTCGAGTGGCATCGAGGCTTTCCCGAGGCCCTGTTGGGTTTGTCTGTTCCGCGGGGCACGTCGGGGCGCTAGTGGGGCGCGTCGAACCATCGTGGATCACGAGAGGAAGCGCCGACAATCCGGGCCCCTCGGGGAAGCGAATGCCTTGCCTCGCCGCGATGTTCTGGCGCTTGCGCCCCCCCCCCTCCACCCGCGCCCCCACCCCCCCGCCCCCTCGTCCAACCACTATAATTCTTCCAAATTACATTGTCCCCCCTCCCCCCCCCGCCACTCTTATCCCTCCTTGTCGCCCTCGCGCCTCTCCGCTTTCCATTCGCCCATCCCTCCGCCCGCTCCGCCCTCCCGCTCTCGATGTCTTCATCCCCCATGGCCTCCTTCCTATATCTCCCCGCGCGCGTTCGCCCCCGTTCCTGCCCGCGCCCCTTCGCCCTAGCCCCTAGCCCCATCTCGCCTTCGCCCCCTGTTTACCTCCTTCCCCGCCGCTCGCACCCCGCCCCAGAACCCAGGCCCGGAAAACGTGAAACCGATCCTTCCTCCCCATGCCTCCTCGCCCCTCCGCCCCCCTCATCACCATCCCTCCTCCTTCCCACCACCTCGCTTGTCAGTCCTCCCCGCCCCTCCTCTCGTCTTCCCCATCCTCCTATTCCCCTCCCCGACCCCTCCTCCCATTGCTTGTCCATCCTCCTTGTCATCGTCCACCGCCTCCTCATCCTCTATTTCGCCTCCTCCTCCTCCTCCTCTACCCTCCCCCCACCATCTCCTCCACCCCCGTCTTTCTCCCCCAGTCGCGGCCCCAACGGATTTCGAAGCGGCCAAAGGGGCGCGCGGTCCAACAATTTAGCCGGGCCTTGGCACGACGTTTGGCCGCGCTGGGCGTTCCCAAACGGGCAAGGGGCGGCGGTGTTTCGCCGCAGGCTTCCTCAATGCCCGCAGGTGCTCGCGAAAAGAAGCCTCGGGATTGGCGACGGGGGCGCACGGCTCGTTTTTTCTCTGGGAGAAAGATCGGAACACGTGCGAACGCCCACGCCGAGCGCCCTGCGGGTCGACGGCCACGCGCGGCCACGCACCCTCCAGCCAACCTGGACAACATGACACGAAGACTGAACGGTTCGAGGGTGGACGAATAGCACGCGGACGACCTCGAGGTGCACGCGCGAAGTCTCTCCTCGGGGCTCACCGCGGCCCTGGGTGCAAGCAGTGCTCGCCATCATGGCACCCTCCTCCTCCTCCTCACCATCGTTCTCCTCATCCTCCTCCCCCCCCCTCCTCATCGTCGCCTTCCTCCTCGCCTCTCCTCCTGCCTCCGCCCCCCGCCCCCCTCCGCCATCCCCCCCTTCTCTGCCCCTCCTCCCGCCTCATCCCATCCTCATCATCGTCGCCATCCTCCCCCCACCCCTTCACTCTCCCCGTGCCCCCCCCCCACACACACACACACACACACACACCACCACCCTCATCCGACTCCTCCTCCCCCCCCTTCCCCCCCCACCGCTTCAAATTCACGATTTGCCCCGCCCTCCGTCTCGTCGCCCTCCCTGTTCGTCGTCCTTTTCCTCCTCCTCTTCCTGCTCCATTATCCTCTCCGTGCTCCCCCCCATGTTCCTCTCCCCGCGCCCCCCCGACGGTTGCCGCGGCGGCTGGGCGGACATAGAACCAAACAGCTCGGACACATCTTGGCCCCACGCCTGGCCACGCAGGCAGGTTCCTAATGGCGCGGGGCGGCGGTGGTTCGCCGCAGGCGTCTTTGATGCATATTTGCGATCGCAAGAAGACGCCCTGGGATTGGTGACTGGCGCGCGCGGCGCGTTCTTATCTGGAGAACGAGCGCGCGCACGTGCGATCGCCCGCTCTGAGCGCCCTGGGGCTGGGGGGCCCCGCGCCACGACACGCCCGCAAGCCAACCTGGACCAAATGATACGAATCCGCCACCGCGCCACTTGGCACGCTGAGTCGTGGTAGAAAGACAGATGCTGTCTGGCAGGGTTTCCGCTATCTTCGAACCCCCACCCCGCCCCACCTGCCAGGTCGCGCCCAGCCGCGTGCAGCGCCCCTGCCCCCGGAGCCCCCTGGGCGGGCCATGAGCCCCCAAGGCACTTTCCGAAGGACGCAAAACGTCCAAAAAGGCCCCGAATACCGACTTGGCAAGCCACCGAGGCCGCCAATGATGTTTCAAGAGGCCGCCAAAACGTCCCCAGCTGGCCCCAAGATGGGCCCAAATGGGTCCGAGGCGGCCAAGGAAGCCTCCGAGACGGCCCCGGAGGGCACCAATGCAGGCCCCAGCAAAACTCAAAGAAGCCAAATGAATGCGCCCCCCTAAATCCCACCAGCCCTCTTGGCGCAGGTGGTTTGGAGCGCGTCCTCTTCCAGCCACTTTCTTCCCATGCGTACCTCTCCCCCTGCCGCCCCCCTGGACATGGACGGGGGGCTTCGCTGGTAGTTGGAGCTTCCAGGGCGGCCCAAGACGGCTCCAACAGCGCCTCAGAGAGTCAAAGATGAACTCCAAGATGGCTCGAGGTAGCCCGAGATGCCTCAGGATGGTTCCGAAAATGCTCCAAGAGGCCCGAAGACCGCGCCAAGAGGCCTGCAAACGGCCAAATCGCTCTCCACGGAAGCCTCCAAGAGATCAAAATGATTCAAAAACCGAATCCCCAAAAAACCAATGATTGTTGCCTTCTCGTTCGTTCGCTTCCGATGGCCATCCGAAGCCTCAAGATGGCCCGAAGATGGGCCCAGAGGGCCCCGAAAGGGGCGCCCGAGAGCCCCAAGGCGACCCCAAGAGCGGCCAAGAGCGCTCCAAGAGCGCCCCTAGAGCCTAGAGGGGTCCAGGAAGCTACTTTGAGGGGGCCCGAGGGGGGGCGCGAATCGATGGACACCCCTGCTTGGATCGATCTCCTCCAAGTTGGCCCCAGGAGAACCCCTACCCCGAGAGCGCCCCAAGAGGTCCCCAAGAGGCGCCCAAGCGGCCCCAAGAGGCGCCCGAGACGCCTCCAATTGGCTCCCAAGAGACTCCCCAAGAAGCTTCAAGACAATCCCCGAGACACCCGAGAAGCCCCCCAGACGCTCCAAGAAGCCCCCGAAACAATTCGCAAGAGACGTCCGAGGAGGCTCTTATGATCGTCAGGTTTCTTGTTTCCTCCTCATCCGTCTCCTCCTCCTCCTCCTCCTCCTCCTCCTTCTTCTCCTCGTCCGTGTCCGCCTACTCCTGCATATTCCCCTCCAGTTTATCAGCCTACTCCTCCTTTTCCTTTCCTCTCCGCACCCTCCCCCAAATCCTCCTCCTTCTCCTCGTTCACATTCTCTTCCTCCCTCCTCCTCGTCCCCCATCCGCCCCCCCCTCCTCCTTCCCCGCCTCCGACGACGCTGAGTCCTGCTCACTCTCCCCCGTCTTGAGGGCACGCGTCGAGATTCACGCCTCGAGCGTCGAGGTTAGCCTTCTGGGGGGCCCCTCGTCGCCACGGGCTGGGCGGCACGAGAACCATCAACATCAGCAGCGGCACCAGCAACAGCACCACCACCAACATCAACAACGGCACCAGCAGCACCACCAGCAGCAGCACCAACAGCACGAAAACAAACAACACCACCGGCAGCACCACCAGCAGCAACCCTACCACCACCAGCAGCAGCAGCAGCAAGAACAGCACCGACAGCTGTACCCGCACCATTCGCTACCACAGATCTCCCGATCCACCGTTGTTGCCAACGCTGCTTCTCATGTGCCAGCTCCTCTTTCCTTCTCTCGTCAGCTCTCCTGGGCATCGTCTCTGAATGGGCTGGTGGGGACACGCGAAGCGTCACATTGTTGCAAGATTTTGACATTCAAACCGCTTCGACCTTGCACCGGCACAAGACAGCCCGAAACCTCCAACATAGTCTCAACACGGTCAGAGAAGGCACCAGGAAAACACCATGACGGCCCAAGAGGGTGCCAAAATGGCTCGAGAGGTGCCCGACAGGGCCCAATGTCGGCCCGCCCAAACGGCCCGCAGGGGGCCCCAAACAACCCCAAGACGGCCCAGGGATCCCCCCAAGATGGGCTCTGAAAGCGCACGTGCACCCGATACCGCCCTCAGGCGGCCCAGGGAGCCCCCAAGAGCCCCCGAGGCGCCCCCTGCCAGGAAGCCCAGTGAGGCCCCCAAGAACTCGTCAAGAGGTTCCAAGAAACCTCAAGAGGCCAGCAAGGGCAAGATTCCTCAATCTTATCAAGCTGGAGAGGATGGGGGATCACGCGAAGTGGTTCCTCAACGCTTGTTGCAAAGTTCTCTCCTTCAACGGTCGGGATGGTCAGAGCCGACAGGATGCAACATGCAATTGCGATAAGAGCCTTGCCTTAACGCAGGGTTTGGCCGCAACCGATCCCCACTCAAACTCTGGCACGGCCTCGGCCCAACTGGCCGACCCACCGCGCCCCCCCCCCCCCTACGCTGAGCGGGGATGCGTGCTGCTCCCTTCGAGCATCGCGTGACCTACCCCCGCCTGGGGCGTGTCCCTGAGATCCGACGCTGCGAGCATAAATGCGGCATCGCGAGAAATCACGACCAGGGCCTGAAGGCCCCACCTTTCTGCAGCACCGTTCGAGTCAGATCGATGCGCGGGGGCCTCCGGGGCCCGACGTGGAGCGACGCTGCCTGGTGCGAAACAATTGCGACGCCAGGACCTCAGGGGGCGGGGCTGAGATGCCATGGCCCGGCGTGGTGGGCAATTGAAGGGCCCCATTCCCTTTGGCAGCGGACCTAGGTTGAGAGGCCCCGACCATGAGGGGCAGAGGGTCTGTCCTGCTGAGGTAACAAACCAATCCACCCCGACGTATTTTCCCTACTGTACACACGGGGACTTAAGTTAGGCCACGTCTTCATCTGGGAACGCGACTTTTGCACACCACCCTCGCCAAAAAGCTGGTCCGGCACAAGACCGTGACTGATCTGTACAAAAATAAGCATCCAGTGGGGGCATTATTTTTGTACACCACCCTGGCGAACAAGCCGACCCTGCACAAGGTACGCGCACGGGGGCGGTGGCCATTAAGGTACTCTGCACAAGGTACGCGCAAGGTACCCTGCACAAGGTACGCGCACAAGGTACGCACAAGGTACTCCCCCCGATCATTGTGTTATTCGGGTTAGGGGTTCTTGTGTTCTCGAGCTCGCGCGGGGACCCCAGAGCGCCCGCGTCTGCACGCGGGCGCTCTGGGGTCCCCGCGCGACCGAAAAGGAATCAAACCTGCAGAAACCTCAGGGAGGACGTGCACATTCCCAGGCAATGTGCTGTCGCCGAGGAACCCCCGCGCCGAAACCTAGCTCGACGCGCCCCGAGCTCGGCCCGCAAAGGCCATGTCGAAGCTGAACCTACCAGGCGGGGCACCGAGCACACTCCGCGCCACGTCGACGCATTCTAATCGCGCCTCGCCATCGCCAGCAATGCCGGCCAGGGGCACGCCTCGTCTGGAACTCCCTCGCGCTCCAGCCACTGCCGCCAGAGGGTGCCGAGCACGATCTTCAAGGCATCGGAGTGGGTGCACAGGTTCCATGACGCAGAGACGCGGCTGTAGGGCGCCAGGTGGCTTGCCCAGCAGCCGCTCGAGAAGCCTCTCCAAATGTAGCTCCCCGGAGGCTTGAAGGCAGAGGCCTCCGCGTGCGACATCACATCGGGCACGGGCGGGGGCGGGGGGCCTCCGCCCTTGCCCTTCCCCTTGCCCTTGCCCTTGCCCGCCCCCGTAGGGGCGGCGGGCGGCTTGGGGGGGGTCACCTCGGCTTTCTTTTTGTGGTACGCGTCCCTGAACTCATGCCGTTCCTCCAACTCGATCTGGATGTCCTTCTTCTCGGCCTTCACCTTCTTGGCGTCGCTGGAGTCCAGGAGTTCCAAGGCCTCGTCAACCATCAGCAACAGCTGGGAGTGCACTCTCACGCACTGGAAAGCCGCCGGGCGCAAATGCACTATGTTCAGCGTCTCCTCGTCTGTGCACTCGAGAATGCTCTTGATCAGCGTGAAGAGCGCGTCGAACAACGTCGCCTTGGGAGGGAATCTGATGCGCCGCGCCTCCCCCAGCTTCTGGCAAATCGTCACGCCGAGATTCCAAAAAGCGTGCTTGGCTGCTACCTTGAGGATGTCCTGGAAATCCGCATCTGGGAAAAACCGCAGCCCCTTCATCTGCGCGCCTGGGAATTCCCTCTGCTGCCATAGGACCGATCGGAGTTTCCACGTCGTGGCCAAGACGCGCTCAGGCAGCAAAGACGTCAAAGCGATAATCGTGGGCTCCCGCGCGCGCACGGGGACGTAGAAGTGCTTCCCCCCCTGGATGTGCACCTTCTGGGAGAAGCAAATCAGAGGCAAGCCCCCGCCGACATCGCCCGCCCCCGCAACCGAGAAGCGGGGGGGGTCGCCAAGGGAAGGCGGGGGATGGGGCGGCCCGCGTTTCCGCGCGAGCCCTGTCGCACGGCCACACGGCGACCCCGGAGCCGGGGCAGAAGAACCAACCGCCGACGAAGTACTTCCAAGCCCCGTCCGGAATTGCAACCTTCAAGAGCAAACTGTGGTTCGCGCTGACGATCTCTCCCTGCCAGGCCCCATTCAGGCGGCGAAGTTCCCCGAATTCCTTGGCCTCCCTTAGCGCGAAGAGATCCGCCACCGGAGTCGCGCGCGTGGAGGCATGCGGGGAATGCCGAGCCGGAGCTTGCACAGCAGACGCGATCGGCCTAAGGTTCGCGCTCGGGCCACCCTTGAACTTCTGAAACGCCTCCTCTGGCAAACGAACCGTCTTCTCCACCGAGGTCACGGTGTAATCCACGGAGGAGTACGAATGCTGGACAGCAGGGATATCCTTCGCCAAACCTGCTGCGAACGACGTCGCAGGTTTCCTATGCTCTTTTGTGCACGGGGCGGCCTTGAAATCCCACCAGCCCTTTGGGCGTGCGTGGTTTAGGGGGCCCGCTCTGTTCTCAACTCCCTTCTTCCCCTTCGGGGAGGCGTTTACCTCTCCCCCTGCCCCCTCCCCCTGGGCCTGGAGAGGTCCTTTCGCGGGTCGTTGGAGGGGTCTTTTTTCGACTCCTGGGAGGGCTAAAATTCGACACCCCTCACGAGGATCGCGGCCCCGACGGGGGGGGGGAGAAAAATGCTCGCCTCTTCTTTGAAGCGAAAATCATTGATGTTACTAGAAAGAAGATGTTGGCCCCATTTTGGCCTTCTGCGGGGGCAGCGCTAATTAAAGCCGCCCTCTTCTTTGAAGCCAGAATCATTGATTGTACTAAGGTTTTGGCCCCAGTTTGACCTTCTGAGGGGGCAGCGCTAATTGAAGCTCCCCTCTTCTTCGATCGATTTCCTCCACGATGGCCCCAAGAAGCGCCCAGGAGGCACCAAGAGGCCCCAAGATGGCCCCAAGATGGCCCCAAGAGGCCCCCAGGAGGCCCCCAAGAGGATCCCAAACGGCCCAAAGAGGCCCCCCCGAGGCACCCAAGACGCCGAAAAGCCCCTCAGGACGACCCTCTACCCGCCTGGCCGTAGTTTCTGGACGGGCTGGTGGGGATACGCGAAGCGTAAAGAATTTAAAAGACAAGCTCGCGCGATGCGGGAGCGCTGAAAAACTGAGCCGCGGCCCAAGCATTCCGCAGATCGGCGCGTTCGCGCCTTGGCGCGCGGTCGTGGAGGGCTCTCTCGGGCTCTGGGCTTCGATTCGCCCGTGCCCTTGTCCTGGCCCTTGCCCTTCCCCTTGCCCTGGGCGGCGTCGCCGTCGGGAGGCGGAGGGTCGGACCTGTCCATGGCCAGACGGCGCTTCTTCCCGCGCTCCTGCATGGCCAATTGGGTGGCCTTCCGCGACTTCGTGCCCGCCGCCTTCGCCTTGGCATCCTTGTGGTCTTGGAGCACCGCTGCCGCCTGCGCGGCCTGCCCCTGCGATGCGTCGGCCGAGTTCGCGGCCTTGGCAACGCGCTCCGAGTAGATCCTGAACTGCCCCTGGGCCCAGCTCTTCCACTTCGTCTGCGAGCCGCGCCCCGTAGCACTCGAACTCCTTGGGCCCCACGCCCACGAAGAACTCGTGGCAGTAGCAAGGTCGCTGTTCTCCGCGCTGGAAGCGCGAGTGCATGTCGCTGTGGTTGTCAATCAAGTCGTACTTACGGGTGATCAACGTCTCCGTGGGGTCGATGTCCACAACGACGCCCTTCGAGGGGAAGCCGATCTTAATCTGCCTCCCCCGCGCAGGGGCCCTGCGGCGGAAGCGGGGGGGAAGGGGGCGGAGCGCGCTTGCCCAGCCCGCCTTGCAGGTGCACCAGGAGACATCGGCAGGCCAAAGCACTTGGGCGGCGCATGCCGACATACACGCTACGTAGGCCACAGGGCGAGGCAGTGCGCAGGCGGGCGCCCGAGAAGACGTGGGCAGAGTGCACGATAGGACCTAACGCGCTGAAGTACGGGGCGGGGGCGGTCTGGCGACAGTCGGCATGATCAATTGACCCGCGGAGTTGTACTCATCCGTGTAGGACCCATGCTTCGTGAAGTTGAGGGCGCCGTTGAAGCGCGAGGTCGCCCTGAGCGTGCTCAGGCGACTGCCCGTCTGCCTCGCGCGCTCACCCAGCACGAACAAATGGAACTGAGCGTCCTGGAACTCGGCCTGCATGCAGAGGTTTTCGGGCCATTGCAACGCGAACTTCATCAGGAGGGTGCAACTCTGACCATCATCGTCCTGCATGGTTCCAAGGTCCTCCGCGGTGAAGCCGCTGTGCGCCATGAGGTAGGTGGACGTGATCTCGTTGCCGCCCTTGTACACGCTGGCCGCAAGGTTCACGCCGCCGATGGTCTTAACGTCCTTCTGCTGCAACTTGCGGGCCTCGGTGAACAGGGGCAAGATCTTGCTGGTGTCGTTTTGCATGATCGTGATGCCCGTCATCATCATCTCCTTCTTGCCCTCCATCTCCTTCTTGTCGTCCGAGGGCCCACCGAGCTTCGGGCACATCAACGCGCACTTGGCGTGGGGGGCGCCAGCGGTGGTCGGGCTCGCAGCGGGGCTCGCCGAGATGCCCTTGGTCGGTGTCTGGGCCGAAGACGCCGCCCCACACGACATCGCGGGGCTTGTCCACGAGGCAAACGCCGGCGAACAGAAAGCAGGCGTCGCGCTGGGCTCGAGCCGAAACATCAGCAACGCACGCCAGGGAGACGGGCGACCCGAGCGGGGTGGGGGTTGAACGCTGCCGACAGCGGCGCGATGCTCAGAAAACTACTCAGCGCCCCCTCGGCTCGGGCCCACGAACAGTGGCGCGGCCGCGTGAATGCACCAAGAAACCGCGGCGCGCTCTCGGGGCGCTGGGGCGCGCCGCCCCCCGCGCCCACCAACCCCCCACCCCCCTGCCGCTCCGCCCGCCCTCCAAGACATCTGCGCGCGCACGCGTGCCGTGCAATGCGAGTCGGGATGTCTGCTCGGCAGCCGAAAATCCCAAATCGAACTTCCCCTGCAACGAATGCACTGCGCGCGCGCCCACTGCGCGCCAGGGGGGGTGCATGATTGGCACGCCCACCTGGGGGGCCGCCACCATGACCGCGTTCTTGCGGTTGACTGCGATGAGGCTGGCCTGGAGCGGGTAGGTGCGTACCCAGCCCTTGTCCGTCGCCATGGAAAGGCTCAGCGCGCCCTTGGAGGCGTCCCTGCAGCTGGCAACGTACTCTGGAAGGCGATGGAGGTGGTTCAAGTAATCGTCGTCCTTTCGTGCCCACGCGCATGTCATGCGACCCGTCTGGGCGGGCCCCTTGGCCTGCAACGCCCCCCCGAACGTCTGCTCCAAGAGCTGGCTCGACCTGAAGAGCACCTGGCCGAGGATGCCGTTGAGCTTGGCCCGACCGATAATGCTCTTCATGGCCGCACCCAGAGGAATGCTGTCCGCCACCCCCCCCCGCCGCGGGGCCGAGTACCCCGAGCAACGCCTTCGCGACCGCGTGCGCCCTGCGACTCCTGCAGTGGCCCCGCAAGGCCGCGATGTTCAGAGCCCCCTTGCGGATGGTGAAGGGCAAGACGACGTCGCCCGCGGCGTTCACCGAAAGGGGGTACCGTACCTCCCACTTGGCGCACATGCTCAAGTCGAAATGTTCGTCCCGATCCACGCGGCCAAGAACCGAAAGGAAGGCGCCCAGCAAGTCCCCCGCGTTATTCCTAGTGCGGGCCTCTACGAGACCTCCCTTGTTCCAGGCAAGATGCGTCCATCGCGCAAGGAGAAGCAATAGGGAACTCGTCGCGGATGACGGCTTCGGTAAGCATCTCATGTAAAATGGGATGGCGGAGTCGTCCTTGGCCGTCTTGTTCGAGGCCACGCCGTCGATGAAGGGGCTCACGCCGAACACCTGCTTGGCGAGCTTTTCCCACGTATCCTTGTTGTCAGCCACGAATTTCCCTGGCCACCCCTTGTAGCCCACCACCTTCAGCAGGGAGAAGAACTGGTCAATCGGGAAGTAGACCTGCTGCCCCGAGTCGCGCCTCCTCTGGGTGAAAACGTGACCGCTGATAACTATACTCTCGCCGATCGATGCAACGCCGCACTTGATTACAAGGTCCCTGCGCTTGCACATCTTAGGCTCCAGTGAGAACGGGCCCTGCGTCTTGCTGCTGGCGAATATCTCGCCCGTGGTCAAAGCACGAGAAGTTCTGAACTCTAGCAGACTGTCGGCCTCGCGTATGTCTGGGTCGATGGCATCGTCGTCGGTGCCCCTGAAGACCATGGAATCGAAAGAACCGCTGTACTCGATGCCCCATGGCGCCGCGCCTGGAGGCAAAATGGTCTTCTCGAGGGTAAACCGGTTGAACACGATAGCTCCGCTATTAGCCACGGCCTGCATGACGAGGCACTCTTTGTCCATCATCGGCGCTGCCATGGCGGCACCGCTATTCACCCCGATCTGTGCTATCTGCGCCGCAGGCCCTGGCAGCTGACCACGCGGCGAGGCCGCCATGGCGACGCTCGGTGGCCCCTTGGCCCGCGGGCGACCTCTGCACTCTGCGCAGGTACCGAAACTGCGTTCGAGACACTATGGCAGCAGCTGCGAGGAGGGGACGAGGGGACGAAGGAGGCGGGAAGGAGACACGTGGGGAACTCCCTGCCCCCAATCTTCTTGCCGCAGCGGCAGGAGCGACAGGAAACTAGCAATTGGCGGGGGCACGTCACGACAAATCCCAACAGCTTTCTTGGAGAAAGTGGTCTGACGCGTTTCCTCTTCGGAACCCGTTTCTCCCCTTCTCGGTGAAACGCTTACCTCTCCCCTGCCCGTCCGCCTGGGTCTGCGCGAAGCACCCCGCGATGTCTCAAACGTTTGAATCCAAGATGGTTCCAACAAAGCCCCCGAAAACCCAAACTGATTTCCAAGATTGCTCACCTGGCATCCGTTGATGGCCCCATATGCCTTCCCAAATGTTCCCGAAAGATCCTGGCACCGTTCCAGGACGGACCCAAGCGGCCACGGGGCATCCCCCAGCAAACTCCGAGAAGTTAAAACCCCTTTCCACGACCGAAAAAATAATTCACGTCTGTGCTCTATCATTTTTTCCCCATATCCCAAGGATTGGGCTTCTTGTTATTACTCTGACGCCTCCCACTCCTCCTCCTCCTTCTTCCTCCCGCTCGCGCCTCCCTCC